AGGGCCCGAAAAGGCATTTCCCTCTCATCAGCACTATGTTGACCGGTTTTCACTGAGGTAGTCCTCGATATCGGTTGTGGACTTCGAGTGTTCATAGTGCTCACTTTGATTGTCCTTTTATAAGTCGTATTCAAAAGGGAATAGGTGAACGCTGTGGGCGGAAGAAGGAACGTTCACACGAGGGAATGATTGTAGCATTCGCAGACTGTCACACGGCTATTTCTTGCCTGGGGTCTGACTCAGACGTTGGCTTCTACGACTATAACTTAACGGGAGTTCAGAGAATCAGATTCATATACTAGAAAGTCGCCTTCCTCCACACTTCCTAGGGTCTGACTCAGACGTTGGCTTCTACGACTATAACTTAACGGGAGTTCAGAGAATCAGATTCATATACTAGAAAGTCGCCTTCCTCCACACCCTGGATGAAAAGAATAGTGAAGGCCACGTCCACGCTATCGCCAAACACCGTTGACTTCTCCCTTGCGCGTGAACTCTATGAATTTCGTGCTCCACCGTCACTTATCCGACAGACGGCAACAGAAAATACCCGTTCGAATGTTCGCGCCAGTTGGAGACTAGTCTAGTCCTTGAAATGTTCCTTCCCTCCGCTTCCTAGGGCGCGGCGTAGGCTAGGCTTCGCTCCTCGATCGATTTCACGTTATTGATTGCTCGACCTAGGTTTGGCGCCATTTTTGAGCATTCAAGCTACCTGCTCTCTCTGAAGTTGATGTTTCGATTGTTCAGAGTTTTGCTTTTAGTACCTATATCTGTTGGGTACGACTTTGCTCCCATGAGGTCGTACTTGATTCTTTCTTAATTTAGTTTTGATTGTTAGTTTAATGCTTTTGTGTTAATACCACATGATCGAAGATTGCGCCCCCGACCTACGGCGACGTCCTAGCTGTTTTCCCCCGTTTAAAACACTTTAACGTACCACTGATGATTTGCCCACTTACATGATATCGATTAACGTCAGCGTCCTGACGTCGATGTCTGTATCGGTACTATAAATGCAGCCAGCGATGGTCACTGCTAATGCAGTTGCATTTTGCATGTTGCGAGCTGTGAAGGGTACCCGAGGAAACTAGTTTTTCTCAGCATTCACGCGAAAGAATGTGGGGAAAAGTTTTAGACTCAACGGTATCGGTCAGAGCGCTGAAAAGAATGAGGTGCCGGCTCTGCCTACGGTGGTGCTTAAAATGATTTTGAGACGCTTAAAAAAGATTATTAGTGAAATGCTGACCCCATGTGAAAAGCTGAACAGAAAGAAGATTCGGCAGTATCGCTCGGAGAGCGCGGGGAGGGCCAAAATTAAGTTTCTCCCTCCAACTACATTTCCGATGAGGCAGCTTTAGGTAGTCCCACTTCACGTCAGCACTACGTGATTTCACCATTCAAGATATGTAGTCTTCACTTGCAATGTAAGGGCCCTCGATAGCACAATTTATTACGAAGGCGCAAGAATGGATGACTGCACTTGCCCGGCGAAAGTAAAGAGAGATGTGTGTACGTCCCGCGTAAGTTCGTTCGACCCCGCTCTACAACGGGGTTGGATGATTACAACATATAAGAAATCGTCGACGACACTCTCCTATACACGCAATGTTTAACTTTCGTTTATTCGTTAATGAATTTTTACATTCTCGTAGTAATCATTTCTGCTTAAATTTTCTGTTACCGTTTTGTCGCTGTCTTCCAAAAAAAAAATTTTCACCAGAACTCCTTGAATGCTCGATGCTTCGTTGCTTCTTTATGTACTTGCTTACTTATTATTGCCATAAACCTCAAAGTAGTCGTTAAGGATGAAGGAGGGTGCAACAGATTCGAACCAACGTCCGCGGCGAGCGTCGTTGATCAAAGCAACGGAAAGTATCAAGAAGGTTGCGGCGCCAAAGAAGAAACGTGATGGTTATTTTTATTCTTTTTCTTTTTTTTTCTTTTGTACAGAAGGGAGGGGGAGGGCGTAATCCCTTGGGGCCCATTAAATCAGGGGTGGGACAGTTCAGAAATGTTGTTGGAAAAGAGTCTATAAAAGCCTTGAGAACGGTGCCTTGGACAGGGACACTAATACCCCATGCGAGGAAATGGTGGTTGGTCTTAGAAAGATCCAGAGACACAGCCATTTTGGATGTCAACTGCTTTCTGTTCTATCCAACTGCAGCCCCTTGGTAAGAGCAAGTTGTCAATCATAATACAGTCTGGCCGTTCGTGTATTAGCTGTAGTCTTTGACAAAATTATTCATGAAGGCTCCTACATAGATTCGACGCCGGGATGCCTTCTTGGCTGAAACCCACCATCATTAAGGGTCATGTTTTCATTGCTCTGGTTCACAGCCTTCTGTTTTACATGCTATATTTGTTAATCTCATTTTTTTTTCGAACATTCAGTTTCTTCATTTGTATCTGTTTCAGATGTATATGAAGTCGAGGCCATTATCTCGCACGTTGTTGTCGACAATGAACCTCTGTATAGAGTAACTTGGGTAGGATATCCGGGCGAAGTCACTGAATTAACTGAAGATGAATTGTCGGTGAGTCTAGATGTTTTCATACCGTGATATTTGCTATTGTCAGACGGTGCCATCTAATGAAAGTAAGGTTTCCCGTGAGCTCTCTTGGCCATCCTTTTATTATGACAGTACACTTGTCCAAACTTTCGTCAAAGAATTAGCCTCAGAGTAAGCGAGTAAGATGAGAAGTAACAGATCTGAAGCTTGATTCCTCTTGTAATCTGAACACTCTAACATTAAAAATCGCAATGTCGAAAGTGCACCAAGGACTGATAACTTTTTGTTTAAGTTGTCAATCTGCTCTAACTCTGCTTCTTGGCTAAAACTCACCATTATGGAAATCTCGAACTTTTCTAAATGTCCAGAGAACGTCCACTAATTCAGCATTATTTGCCTATGAGTTTGTTCCCGGCCATAAAGCGACTGAAGCTGACCAAACTATTAACAGAGCTTTCGGCCAGGTTCTGCTAATTATGTTACCATCGGTAGACAAGTTCAAGAAGGAGCACCTGTTTGAAGGGTAAGGGAAGTCCGGCTGTTGCTTTCATAGAGCCTCCTCTAACTCTGTAAACAGTGCCTCCAACAGATTCTGCAGTATGTTACAAAGTTGGTCGTCTCACCACATTGAGTTCTCTTCAACCAATTTCACGAAGTGAGGGTGACGAAATGCGGTCTCATCTGGATTGAAAATTGCTACTACATAGCGATGTTCATTTCCTAGCTTATGCTCTTGTCATCCAACTCTTTTTTCGAGTGTGTCTTTCAAAATATATTACTCGCCAAAACAAAGGGTGTTTATGGGTCTCAAAGGTTGTTTGACGAAAGTCTTTCGTTCTACCGAGTATTCTCCAGATTTCGCAATCGAATTTTGATCCATACGGGAGCCCCTGAACATTCCTCTGTTACTCCACCCCTCAGTTGCTCCACGTTGGCTGCAGTGTATTACCGCCGTGACCTCTACATTGCTATCATTGGGAAGCATATCGTTATAGTATCTCTTACATACCATTTTTGCGAATGTTTTGTTATACGGTTCCTAAACGGCCATTATCGAGTGTTTTAGTTGCAGTGCTGTTAAGGCACCCTTTGAGTTAGGTTATCATCTCTTTTTTGTTAATCCATTTATGTTTGTAGAACTGTACCGAACTGTTGCAAGCATATAAGGACAAAGTGAAGGAAAGTGGGGATACCAGTCTACTGACGATAATGGAGCCTCACTCGGATCAAGATAGTGGAGGGGTGGAATCAAAAAAAGGCGATAAGCAAA